ATCGTTCAGTATCCAAAGCCACATTAGGTGGGAACTAGCTGGAGGCCTTACAGTGCCATCAAGAAACATTAGGTGGAGAACCCATGTAGTTAGCCTACACTTTAAATAAAGAAGCTACACTGCTGGGAAGGCCAGAGTCAATTTCGAAGTTCACAGATCATTGGGAAGATTTACATTACAAAACTATCTGGAAGAAAATCAATCAAAACAAACATTCACACAATAAATATTTCAAATATTTTTTGACTGTCTAGAATGTGCCAAGTACTAGATATGAAGTGGACAAATTAGTCCTTGTCCAAAATAATTAATAGTTCCTCCTCTGAGGGGAAGAAATATAAGCAAACCACTAATTATAAGCATTGATAGTTTTTTCTAAAACAAAACACTCATAGATTATTGAATGAACAATTTACCTTGTTCGGATACTTTAACAAATAATCTAAGGAATGAAATCTTGCTCATTGCCCTGTAAATGAGATTTCCTTTTTCCCCCCACCAAAAGGTCATAATTCAATCAGAAATAGTTCGAATTTTTCTTAAAAAAGTCAGCAAATTTCTGTGCTAAAATAAACAAATTCTTTATTTAATAAAACTACTTTGAAACTCAAAGTTCCAGCCCTAATGGAGCTAATGATTTTAATGAAAGCAGAGAATTCTTATAAAAATACTGGTAGAGATTTGTTTCAAATATGTCCCTAGTAAAGCTGGAATAAATGTGTATCGGTAGAGACGATAAAATTTTTCTTTCTGGTCAAAGCATCCTTAGAATAAGTCCTTATTCTAAGGCTTCTGTCTGAAGCCTTAAAGGGCTAAACAACTTCCAAGGGTTGAGAGCCAGTCTGTCAATTACCCTATGATAGCCCTAAAACAGGAGGAGAAATGTTATTTAACTGAAGATCAGCTTCAACTTTTTCAATTGAACTAATTTCATTTTTGCGAATCCCCTGAAGTTGACAGTTTCAGAACTCTTTCATATAAAATGACAAGTGACAGGAAGGAGACAGGGATAGATTAAAGGGTGATGCCAAGAATACAAGTATACATAATCTGAAAAGATAAACTCCATAGAGAATCCTTTAAAGGTCTTTGAAGTTTCAAAACAGGAAGACACTGCAGCTGTTCAGAGTATTAGAAAAATGGGTTCATGAAGAAGTCAAAGTAAAAACTGTATCAGATTTGGGAGAGTGGTACCTAGTGCAGATAGCCAATAGCATATGTAAATGTCCAAGAGGCATGTAGGTTATATATACAGCACCTTGGAGATAAGATCAGAAATTGGGAATAGACTGTGGAAGGCAAACTGGAAGAGAATCAAATATCTAATATAGTCTCTCATTTTGTAGAGAAGGAATTTATGGATCAGTTTGACTTGTATAATAAAGTCAAACAGTAAATGGTAAAGTTCAAAAACCAGGTCTCCCTTATTCTACACTTTTAAGTTCTATAGGGCAAACTGGTGGACCACAGGAAAATACATGTGAAAGCAAATTTTGAAAGAGGTAAGCAAATAAGCATACACACACACACACAAAGATACCAACATATTACATATTATACTACTACTGTTGGTGATGAGTAATAATATGCAAGATAATTATATATATCTATAAACTTTTATCACTTACCTCTACCCCAGATTTTTTTGATGATATCTGTGTTATAGTTTCTTTGAATTTATTCGCCTTTTCAAGTTGGGCTTTAAGTTTTTCAGCTAGTTCCTTTAAACAGAAAAACAAGTAAAATAAGTTGATATGTCATTTAAATTTTCACTGTAGAATAATATTTCAAATTTATACATTGGAAGGGAAAACAGCAAAGTAAACAAGCATGTAGCCATCATTACATGTCAACAGTAGCCTCAAGGCAATCATCAACTTACAACCTAGTATGTTAATTTTCAATGATAAACTTCTCAAAAGCCATGACACTGTTCATGCTTTGAAAGTAAATCATTACAAAGACATATATTTTAGAAGCTAAGAAGATGGAAAATATACATAACCTTAAGAATGGCATTTTTATAATTCCATATATATCAGAAATTTCTAACACTCAAAATTTCAGATATCTGTAATAAGGAAACCACCATAAGATTTAAAATATTACTTTGTTGCTAAGTAACTTAGATTAGAATTCTTGAATATATTTCATCTTTGCTCTAGAAAGTGTATAGGAATTTATATAAAACAAATGACATATGCAGCAACAAATTACAAAGAAATACATTAAATACACAAGTTTATATGATAAGTGAAGAGAGTCATCCCCAGGCAGTGGCTCCATTAATACAGGAATGTTTCTTTCAACATAACAAGACCTCCAGACTTGATGACTTACCTTTCACTATTTTAATTAATTCCTTTATGTCTTCAAATTTAAAACTTTGTTTTCTTTCTGTTGCCACTGCTTTTGTTCTTTCATCTCTCTTACCAATTTCTAGGCTGACCTGAACTTTAGTGTTACACCAAGGACCAGATTCAAAGACAAAGATGCTAATAAAAACAGAGCATCTTGTCAGCCAGTCTTTCCTCTACTAAAGAGTGTAAATCACCAAAACATAAGCATTTTCATATGACCATGATGCATTTTATTATAGTGCAAAACAAGAACTGCTGTCTGGCTTTGACATTCCACCCTGTGCAATGTGACATGGACTAGCTAACAGGAATGTGACAACACACTAGGTCAGTAGGTTATCAAGCCAGCAGAGAGGTGGCTTCAGCACTTACTAATCATCCCATTCAGTTCTGAGGCAATCAGTGTTAAATCACATTATTAGGAGACTTAAATGAGTTAACCTAAACAAAGGATGTAGCACATTATCAGGTACAAACACATTGCCTGCAAATTTAAATAAATGAATTTACCATTCTTTCCAGAGACTCATTTTTTAAGTTCCCAGGAAATGGAATTTTAGAATGTAATACTTGCTCTTTTATGACTAATAAAACTAAAGACAGCAGTGGTATCTTATCTCCCACAAATATGCCAAACAAGTTAGAAATATCAGAATAAAGTAAATAACAAACTAAAAAAAAAGGAATTAATGAGCATTTAGTTACCTAAGATGTTAGCCTTCACAAATCTGACATTTAAAGTAGAAAATGTATTTAGAATTAGACATTATGTTTTTAAAGGCATTCAAGGAATTCCTTAAAGAAACAATATAGGAGATATTTTCAAAGTGTTCTACATCCATCTTAGAAAATTACTTGTAAGACATTGAATAATTACTAGGCTGCAAAACATCTAAATCTTACCATATTTCCCATCATCTCTGCCTTGATAATCCTGGCTCCCAACTTGTTCTTCTCATCAACACTCATGATGTGCATGGACTCCCCCTTTGGACTACTTCTGTTTGGACAGGACAGATATAGAGCATGTGAAATATAGGTGCAATGCCAGTAACAGCAACACTCAAACTAACCTCAGCAAAGCAGTCAGTACCAATAATTGTTTAAGACTCTGTGATGGTCAGTATAATTACAACCATAACTAACCAAAGAACCACTCACAACAGATAAAATAAAAACACCAAAATCAGGCCATAATTCTACACATCTGGAGAAAGTCTTCTCATCAAAGTGCTGCTATTGGCCATCTAAGAGATGGTAACCAAGAAACTACATATTTAACTGTATTGAAAGAAAAAGCAATGATCACATTCTCTTTTAAAAAGTCAATCCAAATTAGTAAGACAACATAAATTAATTTATGACAAAGACCATGTGTTCAATTACAACTTCAACAGAAGAAAAAAGAACTGTCCAGACAAGGTCAGATCCTGGCATGTCATTCCCATGTTACTCCTTTAAGAAAAACTTGAGACAACAGTATAGAAAGAGTGAACCCAGGAAGAGTGAAGAAGTTACAGCTAAGAATCCAGGAACTCTAAGGTAGCAGAGAGAACAGAGCTATACAGGAAGGGATCCCAGAACTGCAGAGGCCCCAAGAGTATTCAACAAGAACAATCCCAAAGAATGGGAGAAACAGTATTCAACACTCCTGGGATTAGTGAACCTGCCAGACTATTAAAACTCAATTCAGAAAGCACTGGGTAAAGCATTAAGGGTCCTGTTTATTACAGAAATAGTAAATCCTGGACTAAATCAGCTCTGGGACTACATAACAAATGCTACAAGCAAAAGTGAAAAGGATCAAATGGTTTCTAATTACCTCAGGCCCAGAACAAAGAATATTTATAGGAATGGAAATGTAGCCACTACTCAACAAGGTAAAATTTATAATGTCTAGTATCAAATGAAAGATTACCAGATGCAAAG